AGGATAGACTATTTGTGAGATGAGAGAGTTTAAAGACAGCTTCTCAGATGTCATTAGACTCATTTTAAAGGAAAACCACGTCCTAAAATTACAGAATTCTGGATTGACGAGGCTGGAAAGAAGCTTACATATGATCCAACCTCCCTGTTTTATAACCAGAAGCTCCTGGTCAATGTGGAGTGTACAGACCTATGTCTCCTCAGAAAGCAAATACAATCAAGAATAAATGGATTCAGGACTGGCAGATGGCATAATGGTTGCATAATGGACTCCCACATAGTCAACTGTGGTTCGAGTCCCAGACCTGCTGACTTAAACTCACACCAGGCACATGTACATGAATGCCCAAAATCCCAAAAGGAGAATGGAGAAGAAGGGATAGTGGTCTGACCATCCCCCCTGGACAGCAGTTTCTTGCTTTCTGTCTCTGTGGCAAGTGCATGTGCCCCATAGCAAAAATCTCTCTTAAAAAAAAAAAAAAGAAATGAATTCATGTTTCATAAACCAAAGTTTGCCCAGCGCCAGTCTAGTCCCACCTGAACCCCTGATTGAGAGAAAAAGGAGGATTCACAGGCATGCAATGAACAGTACCTTTTTTTGCTAGTGATTTTTTTTTTTTTTGAGACAGATTTTTTGCTATAAAGCGTGTGCACTCGCTGGAGAAAGAGAGATAGAGATAGACAGAAAGTGGGAAATCACCCCTCACAGAGGATGGCCACACCACAGTCCCTTCTCTTTCGTTCTCCTCTCGGGATTGAGGACACACATGCACATATGCCTGGCATCAGTCTCAAGTCACCCGGTCCAGGACGCAAACCATGGTCGACTACATGGGAGCTCAGCAAGTAACTATCTGGCTAGTGATTTTTTTTAAGGTTTTTGTCATAGGGCACATGCACTCACTGGAGAGACAGAGACAGAGAGAGACAGTGATAGCAAGAGTGAAAATGAGAAATCATCCTCCACGGGGTTGGCCAGGCCTCAATTCCTCCTCCATTCTCTTTTCAGGATTTTGGACACACACATGTGCACACACATGCACACACAAAGAGTGATTGTCAAGCCATCTGGGACTCGAACCAAGATTGGTCATGTGGGTCTAGTGCCTTAACTACCACACCACCTGCTGGCCTCACTAGTGATTTTTTTTTATGACGATTTTATTGAGATAATTCAAGTACTATAAAATTCACCCTTTTAAAGTACAGATGCTCCCAACTTACAGTGGTTCATTGTAAATTTAAAATATTCTATGTCAAAAATGTATTTAATACACCTAACCTACTGAACATCATAGCTTAACCTGGCCTACATTAAGTGTGCTCAGAATACTTACATTAGTCTACAGTTGGGCAAAATCATCCAACACAAAAGGCTATTTTTTAATGAAGTTAAAAGGAATTTTGAATCAGTGGCCAGCCTGTGGGGGCGAGGTTAAGGCAGCCAGATCCCATGAAGCTGACTGTGGTGTGTGAGTCCCAGACCAGGCAGCTTGAGAAACACACTGGGCGCATATGCATGTGTGCCCAGGGTCCCGAAAGGAGGGAGAAGTAGAAGAGAAGGGATTGCAGCAATGCCATTCCCTATTGGCGGTGGGGGGTGGGGAGGATCCCCCCCACTCCAGTAACTGCATGTGCCCTCTGGCAAATTAAAAAAATTTTGAATCAAAATTTGAAGTATGGTTTCTACTGAATATGTATTGCTTTCACACTGTCTTAAAGTCGATAAATCATAATCTGAACCATCGTAAGTCAGGGACTGTAGACAATTTAGTAGTCTTTCAGTACATTCACAGATTTATGCCGTCTAAATTTATAGCAATCTAAGTTTACAATATCACCCACAAAAGAAACTCTGTACCTATTAGCAGTCACCCCATTATTCCCTCTTCCAGTTCCTAGTAGCCATCAGTCTACATTCTGTCTTTAGATTTGCAAGTTCTGGACATTTCATATAAATGAAGTCATGTACCATGTGACCATTTGTGTCTGATTTCTCTCAGCATAATGTTTGCATTTATCCATGTTGTAGCATGCATTTGTACTTTATTCCTTTTCAACAAATAGCCTGTTGTATGGCTACACTATGTTGTGTTTACCTGTTGTCAGTCAATGGATATTTGGTTACTGTGAATAATGCACTTTGAACATCTGTGTACAGGTATTTGTGTAGACATGTCTTTCAGTTCTCTTGGGTATAAACCCTAATAGCAGGATTGCCTGGTCTCATGATAACTATGTTTAACCTTTTAAGGAACTGCCGGAGTATATCCCAAATCAGCTGCACCATTTTATGTTCCCACAAGCAGTGTATGAGTATTCCAGTTTCTCCGCATCTTCACCAACACTTGTTACTGTCTTTCTTTTTATTTTAACCTTCCTAGTGGGTATTACTACCACTGACTTTTTTTTTTTTTTTGAGAGGTTTTTTTTTTTTTTTTTGCTATAGGGCGCGTGTGCTCACCAGACAGAGAAAGACAGAGAGATAGAAAGCGAGAAATCACCTCCCAGGGGGGATGGCCACGCCACAATCCCTTCTCCTCCATTCTCCTCTCGGGATCTTGGGCACACACGCACATGCGCCCAGCATGAGTTTTAAGCCACCGGGTCCGGGACACAAACTGTGGTGGACTACGTGGGAGTCCAGCGACATAGCCATTACGCTTACCGCTGGTCCCACTACCACTGATTTTTAATCTTATGACACCTTCAGTATATTGAAATGATAATTTACTCTCTGTCTTCATCTCTAGAGTCTCAGCTCCTGGAGGACCCAGACTATCTAAGAATCCCCAGTTTCTAGCCTTAAATGCTTATTGAGTTAAGTCAACTGCTGCTAAACTTGGTTACTGACTGTACAGCCTCGATAGTACAGTCAGTAACATAGTGAACTGCAATGCTGGAAGTCACATGGCTGACCATTGGTTTGGATCTCTGGTTTGGTAGACCTGAAACATGTCAGGTCACACACACATGCCCAAGGTCTTGATGAATTGGAGGACTAAGGGAAGGAGATTGTGGCTTAGTAATAATGAGCTCCTGCCAAGGGTGCATCTCACTATTTCTCTCTTTCCATCCCTTGTGTCTGTCCACATATTCTCTCCCATGAATAAAATAAATAAATGAAAAAAATATATAAAATCGCCACCACACCCACGGTTTGTCATCATTCATATATGTGGCAACATTTGGCTCTGAACTCTGTGTTAGGTTCTGTGCCAGAGAGTGGTGCGTTATACAGAGAGACTAAACTGTGACCCTTGTCTTTAAGTAAGCTGGACTACTAGAGTACTTAAGAGCAGAATGTAAGTGAAGATACAGAAATATCAATGACCAGTTAGAAGGCACATATAGAAAATAGTGTACATGTATTTTTAATAATTTGGGAAGATCAAAAATAAAAGATACATTCCTTGGTATAGCTATTGTGATGGATAATGAGACAGTGGTACAGAATCTCACAGTTGCAGAAGCTTGTCTCTTACTAAAGTGGGAAGAGAGCCTTGGATTTGCTGAGCCCCTGTCTCAGAACTAGGCTTCTGCCAGGTGGTAGATGGAGGCATTCCAAAGCGCCATTCCCTCTTTCTTGGTTCCACCAACATGGTGCATATACACAGGTGCAGAATGTCCTCCCCTGCCACCTGAAACCACGCCTAGGCCAGGATCTCACACCTGCACAAGCCAAGGTGTGTGATCTGAAAAAGCCATGCTCAAGAAAAATAAATTCTGGGGCCACTATGTGGCCTACCAATAAAACACAATGCTTTGCAAGGCAGTCTCAAATGGAAACGTTCCTAGTTCAAGTCCTGAAACTTCCCTGAGTACTCCAGGCTCACGTGTGCCCATGATCTAGGGCTTGCTGAAAGCTGGGGGTGATTGTGGTGTCAGGACCCCAGTAGAAGTACTGTCTCTCTTTCTCTATTCTCTGTTTCTTACTCATGGAAGAAGTAAATAAATCAACAACAACAACGATGATGAAAAACGAGCTCACTGCCTGATTAAGAACTGGTCTGTGGTTCCCAGAGGATCTCAGACAAACACCGATCTTTGGCTTTTCTTGTCTTCTTTTCTCTACATGGAATGCCTCAGACATTTTTGAGAATGGCAAGGGATGTGACTGATAATTATTCCAGGACAGTAGGCAGAAACCAGGACTGTCAGGGGCAAACTCAGGCATACGGTCACCTACCCTACCTCAATACATCCACTCTCTCCTCATCTCCTGCTACTGTCCTCCCTGAGGAGATCTGCTCTCCCCTCCAGTGCTCCTACAGCACATGCTGGGAGACCTCTGTGCTCCCTATGTTCTCCTTGGGTTACCTGTCACATGCTCCTCACTGGATGATTGCAGACTTCTCAAAATGCTATATTAGGCCAGGGACTTGAGGCTCTAATAAATTCTCAAGAAATTAAGAAAATCCCACTGACTGAAAATGAAAGCTGCATCTGGGTTTTAACCCAGCTCATCCTCATCTATGGCCTGAGCTTGTAAGAGTATCTCATGAAAGCATTTCCTCAAGCCCTTTCCTTCTACCTCCTGATTTTCCTGCATGAAGATCAAGATACCACTGTGCAGGGAAGCATAGAGGTGTGTGAACAAACATTCACGGGGGCTTCAAGATGTTCGTGGAAAATGGAATTAAAGTATGGGTTTATATTGCTGTAAAAAATATTGAAATCCACGCACATTTTTATCATAATACACATTTCTCATGAACTTAATATTAGATACCTCATATAGGTATTCCAGTTGTCCAGAACTGTCCAAGAATTCCAATGAATATAGATATCAAAATAGTTTTCATCAAACCTTGTGGAAAAGCATCTGCAAACACTCCATATGTTTGTGATTCAGAACCATGACTTCCTAATTTATTTCTAATTCAATCCTTATCAGTTTGATTTCTTCCAATTAAGCCCCAATCCAGCATAATTGCTTTAATAGAAACAGCATTTAGATATTATAAAGCTGATTTTTTTTTTTCCTTTTCTGTTTTCTAGGATCAGTACAAGTTCTGCTACGAGGTGGCCCTGGAATACTTGAATTCTGGCTGACAGCATCAACAGCATCCTTATCAGTTTGATTTCTTCCAATTAAGCCCCTAATCCAGCATAATTGCTTTAATAGAAACAGCATTTAGATATTATAAAGCTGATTTTTTTTTCCTTTTCTGTTTTCTAGGATCAGTACAAGTTCTGCTACGAGGTGGCCCTGGAATACTTGAATTCTGGCTGACAGCATCAACAGCTCTGCAAACAAACCCTTTCATACCACAAAGCCAAGAGGTTCCATGGTATTTGTGTAGATGAGATGAAGACTTCTCAATATGCTTATTTTGCTTTGCATAATTGGCTCTTTTTAAGAGCCCAAGAAAGTGTTTATAAAACTGCTTGCACTGCCCAATTCCCAGTAATGCTGCTGCCTGACAGAAACACACACACAGCATACAGCCGTCAAATACTGTACTCCTAGTCACCGGCTTGTTAGAGCAGCGTAGACAGCTGGTAAATTGAAGAGCACAATTATATTCTTATGAAGGAATTTGTACCTTTGGGGTATTATTTTGTGGCCCGTGATCCTTTGTTATTGTTACAGCTGAGTGTACGTTTTTGTTCTGTGGAGAATGCTACCTGGCATTATAATATATTATTTTAGTTAATATTTGTATTTTAACATGTTGCATAATGTAAGCTTATGTAGCTTTGCAGGACTAACAGATAAACGTGTAATGAACAAAGATATGTTGTATGAGTTGTTGTTTCTATCAGATTTGTATTGTTTCCAAAGGAAAAGCTCAGGAGGACTCAGTTCAAAAATGCAAAACTCAACGATCAGATGCACAGATCCAAAGCTTTTCCATTTGTTTATATTGTAAATATTTTTGATTTCATCAAATTATTTATTCATTAAAAGAAATTTTTGTGAAGCACAATGAGTGACAATCATTTTTATTAAGCCCTGGAAATGATTTACTGTGTGATGTTACCTTGTGAAATTCTCTACTCAATAAATGATGACCCATGACCAGTCGTGGTGTATTCCTGGTGTCCCAGCAACGGGTGGTGGAAGCAGCCCCCGGCACACCAGACCACTGGGGAGAGAGTGCACCTATAACCTGTTTGCCTGCAGCAGATGGAGCTGGGATTTTTGAGAGAGGACTCTTGTCAGTGAGAACTCCAGTCCATCGTGGTAACCTGCTCCCAGTGTCAAGGAAACACTGGCCATGGAGTCCCCTGAGAGGGCTGAGCAAGGTGCCAGAGCAGGGGCTTTCTGACTGGGAGCAACCTCTTCCTTTTTCTGTTTCACTGCAGCCACTAGGGGATATCTGTCCTCTCCATGCCTCCTTCAGACATGAGATTTGCTGAGAGAGCAATGTTTAAAGCACATTTAAGCAGAGCTTAACAAGACCATTTCTGCCAGAAGAAGTTCATGTGGTATAGACTGCCATGCAGGGCACTCTGCTCTATGCCACCCCAGGGCCTTGACCTCTAAGCAGAGGCAGGTTTGCTGTGGGCTTAAGAGTTTAAATTAAAACTTTTTAACAAGTGTCCAGTGGTTACCAATAACTTTGGTATTAAACCTTTATTGTGTGCCAGTTCTGTGCCAGATACTGCAAGCCACCTTCCCATGTAGTAACAGGTCCTCGCCACAGTATGATCTAGTACTGTTATGAATGCCACCTGACAGATAAACTCAAATTAGAAAATATTAGATCACTTGTCCAAAGTCACACCAGCTAGTAGGCACTGAGTGCCTCCAGAGCCCATGGGAGGCGGACAGCAGCAGCATTACCCTTGGTGCTTTATGACAGCAGACATGCTGAGACAGGGATACTGGACCATCACTCACTATGGAAAATTGGGAGCTTGAGGGCATTATTCCTGTGTGTTTGGAAGATCATTGTTACCATATTCCACCCACTGGTATAAATTTCCCCATACCCCTCTTTAAAAATGGTGGGATTCAGGCTGACTCCATGGCCTGGTGAGTAAGGCAGTTGGATATCACATGGCCAACCCTGAAGTTCAAGTCCCAGCCCCAGAAGTTTGAGAAATGGGCTGGGTGCATGTACATGTGAGCCCCAAATCCTGACAAGAGAAGAAATGGAGAAGGGATTGTGGTGTGACCATACTCCAGGGGGATGCTTTCTCCCTCTCCCTCTCCCTCTCTCTATATCTGATGAGCACACATGTCCTCCGGCATGTGAGTGGAACTCTATCCACTCTCAGGAAGTGCTGTCTGCACTTAACACGTCACACCTAGGCCCCTCACAGAAAATAGCCCCTCACTATTCCCCCACCCTATCCCCTTGATAAGCTCCTAGAAGATTAAAAGGCTGCTATTTTTCTATGTACCTTTTCAAAATGCTTTCTCCAGGATATAGGAATAGAGATGAGTACATTTGGACAGCTGTGCCCATTGTGCAAGCTGGGCCTTCATGGGGGTTGTGGTGACACTCTAGGCTGTGCTCGCAAGGTCGTGGCACATTCCATATAGGCAGTAGGATGTCTTTATAATGAGCTGGAGTAGTAGACTGAACTGTACTTCCCAGATTTCTATTCTGTATATACCAGGGGTCTTCCAAAAGTTTTATGGAAAATGCATATTATGAAAAAACTATGCATGAATTTCAAAATTTTTCACACCAAAATAAACTTATATTTGGATTCCAGTTTCTAAGAAACTTGTTGAAGTCCCCTTGTACTTCCGATCATTTTTATTATGCCCTAAGAAAGCTTTATTCAGTTGTAAATAAACTTGATTAATGTGAGACACTCTTTACCCAAACCTCGAGGAAGTGTTCCCCTCTGAAACTTTCTCAAGCAGAGATAACTCATTCTTCCATGTTCCCAATTCTTCCTCAGTGCTTGCTCTTCGTACTCTACTTGAGCTAACTGATGGCCACCTCCTGCAGCTTGTCATCTTGAACTGCCTTACCTCTGACATCTTCAATAAGCATGATGGCCGAATTCTGACTCCAACTTCTTTAACTGCTAGTTTTCTCCTTGCCCTATTCCTGCATCCTTATTCTTTCTGTTTTTAAAATTTTCCAGACCATTCTCTGAGCATTGTCCTATTTTTTAAAATCTGTTTTCCTGTACAATCTTGGCCCCATGATATTTCACTTCACCCAGTTTTGTCAATGCCTTTGATGCCCTTGACACCCTATAATTTTATCATATCTACCCTAAATGTGGTCCATTTTAGATAAATCCAGTCAAGATTTCTAATCTCAGAAAAGCTAGAGTAACAGAGACAAGATTTCCCTTCCTAAGTGAAACAATTAAAAACACGAAAAAATACATTTTCAAAAATGACTTTTAAAATACTGGACAAGAAATAGGAAACAAAGTAGGTTACTCCTAGGGTTGCCCCCAGTTATGCCCTGAAGAGAATTTCTCCACCACAAATATAGGGAAGGAGAATGCAGGTGGAGCCCAGTGGTCTCCTTGATAGGAGGAACTGGAGTTAAGAACAGAATTTTAAAAGCCCAAGGTGGCTAAGGTTTTTCAGGGCAGAGTATCAGATATGAGAGAGAGTTGGATAGAAAAGGAATTCTAAAGATCTTCAGAGTGTCTACGTCAGGTCTTAAGTGTTGACCAGGATAATTACCTGAGGCCAAAGAAAGAACCACCCAAAAAGATTAGAGTGAATATATTCAGCATTCACAAAGGCCAGAATAGCTCCTCTTTCCATTGAGTAGAAAACCCACAAGGGTGGGAGGTTGACTCAGGAAGTGGGGCAAAATTTTCTCGGGGCAAAATTTTTTCTATGCTAACCACAGTTGTTGTCCTAACAAAGTGGTAACTAAAAGGTCAAACTGTTTCCAAGTAACTTAACTGCTCCATGGAACTAAACTAAAGAATATTTATAGGAATACAAAAATATCCAACATTCAAGAAAGTAAAATTACAGTGTCTGGCATTCATTTCAAAATTATAAGGCTGTTAGCATAATGGCTATGTCACTGGACTCCCATGTAGTCGACCACGATTCGAGTCCCAAACCCCGTGGCTTAAACTCATGCCGGGTACATGTGCGTATGTGCCCAAGATCCCTAGAGGAAAAAGGAGAAGAAGGGATTGCGTGGTCATCGCCCCGGGGGGTGATTTCTCACTTTCTGTCTCTGTCTCTCTCTGTCTTTCTGGCGAGCACATGTGCCCTATAGCAAAAACCTCTCCAAAAAAAAAAAAAAATTATAAGGCACACAAAGAAACAGAAACGTACAACACATAGTGATGAGAAAATCAATCAGTTGAAACTGATTTAGAAATAACATCAATGATAGACTTAGTAGCTAAGGTCATTAAATTTATTATTCTATAGCTTTACTCTAGATCACCAAGAAGTTAAAGGAAAGATTTAGCACATTGGGCAAAATCACAGAGGATATAAAAATTTCCCAACTAGAATTTCAGGAGATGAAAACTATAAAGCTTAAGATTTTAAAAAAATCTAGATGAGATTAAGAGCAGATTAGATTTTGCAGGAAAAAAAATAATGAATTTGAAAACATCAGAAGAAACTATTCAAAATAAAACACAGAGAGAAGGATTGAAAAAATAAATAGAGCATGAGTGAACTGTCGGAATCTCCCTAAGTGGGGAAAGAAGATCAGAAAAATAAAATTTGAAGAATAGTAATTACAGCAGACTTCTTTTGGGGCACAATGCAATCCAGAAGATAGTAGAACAACAATTTAAAGTACCAGACAAAAATATTATAAAAAGAATTTTATACCCAGCAAAAAATACTTTTCAAAGTAGCAGAGATAAAATAAAGGAATGTTCTCCACACAAAAGTTGCAAGGCTTCCTCACCAGAAGACCCATGAAAGAAAAACTGAAGGAAATTACCTCAAATGGAGATTGCTTCTATGCAAAGGAATGAAGAGCACTGGGAAAAGTTACCACATGGAAAAATGTTAAAGGGTTTTTTAATTATTATTATTTAAATATCTTTAAAATATCACTGTTTAGAGCTACATGGTTGCACAGCAATAATGCAACACTCTGTGAAGCTACTCCATATGGGAAGGTTCCAGGTTTGCATCTGAAGACCTCCCTGAAC